GACAAATCCAAAAGCTTTTGTCTCTTTCCATGATCAAGGCGATTGAAATACATATTGTTCCGAAAAGTATGGAAGCCTTTGCCTCTACCGCGACGCGGGAACCAAACAAACGAACGAGCTTCACGCGTATGGCCAGCATCAACCAAAGAAATTAACCCAACCGGCCTCGCCGCGGCACCAACAGACAACGGAAAAAGTACCGTTTTTGTGGGTTTTTACAAAAATGAGCACACCTTTCTTTGGAGCTGAAAAAACATGGACAACAGCAACAAAGGCGGCCGTCGCCGCCACACGCCCGCGTGATGATACCTTCTCCAGAAACAACCGGACCCATCACCGACGATCGCAAAAAAAAAGAAAGAAGGGAAACGAAAACTCACCGCACTCGCCGGCGGGGGAAATAAAATAAGATTTTCTTCTCAACAACCTCACTCACACCAGCAGAGAACTTTCGAATAAGAAAAACAGATGAGAACAAAATAAACACGAAAACTCACCGCACCCGCCGCCGCCGCCGGCGGAACCTTGGAGAAGGAGAGCCTGAAAGGCGGCGCAACCTCCTCGGGGGTGAGGGCCTCGCCCGCCTCGTCCGTGAACTTGAACGCCGCGCCGGGAAAGGCCTAAGGGTAACGTTTCACAAAAACACAATGTTGGTCACCAGCAAAATTACTGGTGTGTGTGTGTGGCCGGATGACAAGGTTAAACAGGAGGGTGTTTTCGTGCCAGAAAAGGGTGGATGAGCACAATCGGCGGGGTTTCCGGTGGAGTTTGAAACGCCATGGGTAGTGCTGTGCCCAGCGCAGGTCTAAAATTAAAAGTCACGCCCTTCGCAACAAATACCAATGACGCAACACCCACAAAACAATGGCAACAATAACAGCAACACCCACAGCAACATGAACAGCGCAGCACCACCACCACCACCACCACCACCACCGCCAATAACAGTAGTAGCACCACCGCCAACAGCAGCAGCAGCAGCAGCAACAACAACACCAACAACAACAACAACGTACCTCTCGCGCATGGTCGATATCCAGCAGGGTGTCCCCGAAGTCCACCCCCTCCGTCACCTGGTCGGGCAAGTTTCGGTAGTGCGCGCCCGCGGGGTCCCCGTACCCTAGGAAGACGTCGTGCAGCCACGGGGGCATCGCCTGCCCCACCGCAGAGGTGTTCATCAGGTCCCTGCACCAACAAACGCACCAATAGGGAGGCAGGTGGGTAATAGTGTTACTGGTGTTGGGGGTAAGAGCGTGCTCGATTTAATACGTAACAGCAGAGTCTGGATGCCGTTAGCCGTTAGCCGTTAGCTTCGTTATCGTTCTTGGCGGGCGATTGTGTGTATCTGCGCGTGCTTCCCGACGGGTGTCATGTTATGGACGTGATGGGGTACAGATACGCGACACAGCTTCTTCTTGTGAAGACAGCAACAACAAAACGACAGCAGTAGTAGCAGCAGCAGCAGCAGCAGCAGCAGCATCAGCAACAACAACAACATCAACAACACTACAACACAAGAGCAACAACAACAACGACAACAACAACAGCAGCAACAACAACCCTGGTGGCTGGTAACCTCACCGAATGGTCTCGAGGATGCCCTTGAAGTTGTTCTCCTTGGCGTTCCGCCGCACCAGGAGGTTGACGGTTTCGTACACCATGTCGGCCGCCTTCATGTCGGCGTGGTACTGCGCTGGGTCCAGCCTCAGGCGAAGGGTGCGCTTGTTTCCAACCGGAGGAGCGTTTTTCTGTCAAACCGAGAAAAAAAAATAAAAAGGAGAGAAAAAAGGTATCGCATGCCATACCATAGAGCAAGCACGAAACGCCGTGAGGTGTCAGGCCAAGGGGGGGGGGGGTGTACTCATAATCGTGCATGCCGTAATCCTTAGACCATTGACCTCCCATCCCTACAAAGCCGGGACGGAGCACGCCGGGTTCTCACCGGACCAGGCTCTCACATCACCAAGCGCGAAGCGCCGTGAGGTATTCGGCCGGGGGGGTGCAAATCATGTTTTGCATGCCGTAATTGTGGAGATCATTGACCACGCGTCTAGGGGATCGAGCGTTGTGGAGCAGAATTTTTACCCCCTTGACGGACAGAAATCCCTCAAGCTGCATGACAGACAGCCTTGTTGCACAGGACCCATCACCGATGGCCAATCGTTCCCCCCTGCTTCGCCAAAGGTGGCTCAAAAACGTTTTCCCTATCCTCTCGACATCACTTCAACCTACTCCCTAGGCCCCAGTATTTACAGCTACCGTCTTCTCCTGGCTAATTCAAGCCTCAAACATCTCCCTCTACCTTCCTTCTACTTTCCCCAGGGCAGTGGGGAAGGGGGGGTAAACTAAGCCCGGACTTACCCTCTCCTTCTGTGTGGCGGGATCGTTCAGCAGGTTGCCCTCCTCATCGGCCAGCTCGTAAACCTCCGCGCCTCGTACCGCCACCACGCCATACCTTCACACGGCCGTACCAAAATCAACAACAAGGGCGGGTGGGTATATCCAGGACGCGGAACGGTTCCAATTGGCGGCAGAGGGGGAGCAAACGTCACAAAAATGTGGAAAAAACGAGGCCTAAACAGTAGTAGCCTAAACGACAATATCAGCAGCGCCACGCCGTTCAATAAGGCAACAAAATGGAGTGGTCGTGCACTTGCACGGAAACCCAAAGCCAGAGAAAATATGGACTTCTGAATAGTCTCCATCCGAACAGGTGCAACAAGCGCTTTCCCTCAAGACTCGGAACAACAACTCACCACCATCAAGGCAACCACCCCGTCGCCATCAAAACAACTCCAAAAGCACCGTGCTACAACCCAGCAACTTCAGCACCAAGCACGACGGCTGCAACATCCAGTCAGAACGAAGCAGCACCTGCCCATACACATCTTGCCGGGAAAAACCACGGGTCTTCCACCTACCCAACCTCAACCACGGCGAGATGCTCTCTCTTGGCCGGTGGCAACAAGGGGGTCCGTGGTCCAATCAATCGCCGAAAGAGCGGCACTTAAAAAAAAAATGTTGTGGTCGACGAAAAAAGGAATTCGTTTTCGGTGGTTGACTTTTCCACCCGAAACTTACAGGGTCACCAACCACCTCAACACCTAAAAAACAACTCAGCAGACGTTGGTGCGCCCTACCTGGCAGGGAACAGCGGGTCTTCTTCGTCCTTGACCGTCCTCTCTCCTCCAGAACCCCTACCCCCTCCTCGGCCACGCCCTCTGCCGCGCCCCCTCCCGCCTCCCCGGTGGAAACCCCCTCTGCCGCCGCCGCCGCGGCCGCGGCCGGCGTGGTGGAGGTGGTGGGGCGGGGGCGGATGGGGGTGCCCGTTGAACTGCTGAGGGTGCATCGGCATCGGCATCTGCTGCTGCTGCATGTGCATCATCGGTGGCGGTGGCGGCTGTTGCATCTGCTGCTGCTGCTGCTGCTGGTCTGCCTGCTGCTGCCACTGCTGCTGCAGGTTGAGGATGCCCGTTCCCTCCGCGTCCTATGCATTGCCATGTTTAGGGTGGGTAGTAGGGAAACGAACAACAGCACCGTGAGTCATGGCCACTCCCCCCCATCGTATCCCGACATAACGCTCGGCCTTGTCTCTATACCTCAACAGCTACGATGAGATCTCGGGGGCCACACAGATGGGATACACACCATCGAGTGAGGGTGTGTGTCTGCCGTGTCCCGTGAGGCTCGCACGGTTACGTGATACTACTGACACTACAGTGTTGTAAATGTTAGTAATTCGATGGCTCCCCTGATACCAACTATTGCTACCCCCCGCCCTCTCATTGCTGCCTCCCCCGAATTGAGAAAACCAAGAGTTCTAAGGAAGGTAAAATCGAAGCCGGAGGCATGTACAGTCTCACGTGGGGGGACTGTATGGAGACCAGGAAGACCACGTCATGCTCCCGAAGGGTGTCCCACTCCTCGCGCATGTGCATCCGGTCGAAGTGGGCCAGGTTAAGGGTCACCTCGGAGAGAACCTATGTGCACAAAATAATTGCACGATGACGACGGGCGGCAAACACAGCAGTGTTAAAGTTTGGGGGGCAAGGGTCAAAGCACATTGACGGCAGCAAAGCGCACATCGACGTTGGGGGGTGAGGGTCAACCGAATACGTTCATTCTCGCCTTGGGGACAGAGACTACATAGTCTACAGCAAGAACACGACCACCAATGCCGCTTTTTTTCTTTTCCCATCTATTCCGTGACACTTGCCGATAAACCTATCCGTCAAAAAAACAAAAAAAACAACGACGCAACAACAGACCACACCAGCGACAACCCGATAGATATCCCGGAAAAAATGCTCGGGCCTTCGTCTCGGGGATGGGGTGATACAAAAAACAAACCAAAAAACATCAGGCCAACAACACCGGAGCCTTTGTCTGGGAAACGGGAGGTGACAACGAAAAAACAATAAAAAGCATCAGGCAAAAAAAACACCGGAGCCTTCGTCTGGGCAATGGGAGGCGACAAAAAGAAAAAAAAAAAACACATATACGCACCTCCGCCGGGACCTTCTCCCCGAGGTTCGGCTTCTTGACCTCCGTGATGGAAACCCCCGATATAGGCGTCGCCATCCTGGCCCAGCCCTCGAAACGGGTGGCACCCCCCCTGGTGGGGTCGCGCCTGGGGTTGGTGCGGCGGATGGCGTCCACGAGGTCTCCGCGGATCTCGTAGGCAGACTCTAGCCGGAAGAGGTTGAAGCTCCTGTAGGGGTTTCGCAACGGGGTTACCAACAACAAAAAAAAAAGGTGAGGGATGGGCGGGAAGAGAGACACGGCGTGCGTTGTTTTAGAAAGTAAACATAACCTCACAGAAAGGCTACCCGTTCGAGATACCTCAGTCGAAAAGGGATGTGTTGAAGGCTTTTCCGTAACAAGATCCAGACTGACTGGAAACTGGGCTCATCCTGAGTTTGTGTAAGCCTATAGGCTTGTTCACCTCACGCGTAATGTGCGGGGGTTGTGTGCGTATTCGTTTGCTACGGGGATAAAAAAATAAGCAGTTGCGGGAGGGGAAACGGCGGCGTTTGTACAACAATACGCCTGCGGCGGCGTGGAGTCGTCGCGAACTGGTTTTCTCGACCTCATGGTACGTAGGATTTATACGTGCTGCCGCGGCGGTGGATGCGTGAGGTCTGCCATAAATCACGAGCGGAACGTGGACTTCTTTTTGTGCGACCGGGTGACACCGAGTTCCTGGTAAACTCGTTGACCTCGAGGTTTCGGGTTTGTGCGGAAGGAACCCAGGTGAGATATTGGCTTAACGATACCACACAGTATTGGCTTGATCATCCGAAGCACGACGCATAAATACTTGTTTTTGTGTTCCACATCGAAGGCAGGAGGGAAGGTGCGACGAAAAACTGAAAACGTGCCTGTGATACGTTTTCTGACTCGACTGACACGTGAAGGATACCTACCCCAAGGAAAAAAAACGGCCTTCGTTAACGCTTTTTCATGTCGGCATAATTTCCCGCGAAACCAAACCCACGGTACAACACGTTTTGTTTTTTGTGGTAACCGGGCACCACGACATGCTCCATGCGGCAACTGGCGACCACGGCACAGTACAGTAATTGTTGGGCGGCAAAAGGCCACCACGGTAAATTCCGTACGGTAACTGAAAAAAAAAAAAAAACACAACGAACGAGCGGGTTTCCAAAGACTAGGTGCATACCTGAGCAGGTAGTCGTGGCTAGTGAGGAACTGCAGGTTCAGCTTGGGCAGAGCCATGACCTTCCCGCCGTAAAACTGCCCCAGCGGCACCAGGTTCTCGTCCCACAAGAGAGCCTCGTTCGGGTACAGGGGAAGCTCGTTCACCTGTGGTCATCACATGGAAAAAAAAAACGGGGTTGAGCACAAAAAAAAGAAAGTGCGGAAAAATAAAGGGAGGGGCGGGGGCAAAGCAACAACAAAATGAGCAAAAGACAAAAACAGGTGGACAACCAATCGAATATGCAAAAAACATTTATGCATTGTTTGGAAATTAACTACAACACTGGCAGGCAACAGTGGGCAACTGTGATAAAAAACGCCTGTGTTTATAAACATGTGTCCACATCGTGAAAAAACACCGACGGCAACAGTAAAAAACAGAGCCTCGGTCTGGTGCAATGGCCGGTCGCTCACTAACGTGGCACAGCAGCAACGGCAACAAAAATTCATGCAATAACAGAAGGAAAGGGAAATAAGCTGAACGTGAATGGTTCGCGACGGCAAAGTGTATGCGGTAGGTGCGACATGCCAAACGAGATTAGAACCAAACAGTATCATTGTACAAACCAATCGCGACCTATCACGCTGGCGTCGTCATTATCATATTCCGGGCTAAGTGGGAGGCAATCTCCTCTCTCTCTCTCTCTCTCTCTGCTGCTGCCACACACATGTCTCTTTCGTGTCATCTACCCCACCCACCCAGTTCCTGAACCGAAACACTCACAAACGTTTCAATGCCTCACCTGTTGTATCTGGCTATCTCTGTCGGCGAAGTGGTTGAGCAGCACCTCCAGCAAGAAGGCCTTATTGTTGGACAACCCTGCGGCGTCGCCTGCGTTTCCGCCGTCCCGCAAGATTAAAAAGAAAAAAGATGCAGCCAGTCAAGCAAGTCACAGGAAGAGAACGCGAAGTACTTTTTTCTGTGAGCTGCTGCTGCGTCTGCTGTGTTGTTGTTGCTGCTGCTGTTGCGATCAAATGCTGCCGATCATGATAATTGTTGTCGTTGTCATCTAAGCATCGGGAGACATTCCCCTTTGGCATATGCTTCACCAGTGCCGGAAATTACGCTCACGAGAACATTGGGTTCTGAAAACGGACACACCATTTTACGTCCCGTCTTGTCTGGCGCCCGTCCGCACTTTTTGGTATGTGATTCCGGGGTGACACAGGGTCAGGAAAAATGGGCAAGACGAGGCCAAACCAGGTCTCTCGACCTACCGAATTGCGTGCTTACCATGCCCAGCGCTTCATTGTGACAAGACGTCACAAGAGAGAACAACACCAAAACAGGAATCTCGATCGAAGGGTGTGTTTGTTTACGCCGAGCACTCACTGTTGCGACACCACAAGCGAAGCAACAAATGTCGAGCGTTTACTTGTTGCGAAACACACAAAAAACAAGACAAGTGCTAAGTAGCTTCGATCACCTTCCGAAGCATCCTCATCTTTCCTGACCAGGACCATCCTCTGCGCCAATTTCTTCAGGACGTTGGCCGGCAAAGTTCCCAGGGTCTTAGCCAGGAAGTCACGCTGGCACGCAGGCACGCAGCGTAGAGGCGAGAGACACACACAGAGAGAGAGAGAGAGAGAGAGAGAGAGAGAGAGAGAGAGAGACGGAGAGAGAGAGAGGGACATCGGGGGGCATTGAGAAAAACCGTACGCAAAGCACAACACACGCTTAGCCAATTACATTTCCGAATGTCGGTTGATATTTCGCATTTCACTACACTGGCTCCAGAACAGATGGGGGCGAATACGCATGCCCTCCACGTGCGGGAAGCGTTTTAATCCTTCCAAGCGTGGTCACGACAGAACGCACAACAATGGGGGCACAAAACAAACAAACGTTTCGCTCACACTTTTTTCATTGGTCAGCCGGTTAGCGTGGTCGACAACAAAAATAAACACACACACACACACACACACACAGATCTTTTTCCTTTCATAATCCCCCACGGCAAAACGGCCATGGCGTGCATCGGCACGAGGCAGACACACATTCCCTTGCATGAACCACACCAATAACATGCCCCCCCCCCCCCTACAAAAACGCCACCGCGTGTATGCATATGTGTACATCGACACGAGACGAGGGACGCACGGACCTTTCCGGCAGCGACGGAGCTCACGAAGGGGAAGTCCGGCAGCGCCTGCCTGTAGTGCTCGAAGACCACCTTCTGCAACACGTGCACGCGCGAGTGGTGCTTCTCCATCATGTCCTTGTCGGTCAGGGGCCGTCCCGTCTGGTCGTTGATCTCAAAGCCCTGGGTTATCGCCGCAAGCACGCACGCGGTAAACAGACAGGGCAGACACCGCCAACAGGTACAGCAGTAGATAGACAGAACAGGGGAGACAAGTCAGTCATAATCAAGCCACAAGGAGATGCAGAATAGTAGATCTTCACATCGGGCGAACGCTTTTTGTACGCGTGTGTTGTACACGAGAGAGCGTAACAAAAAACACATGGGTCGACGTGCTGAAAACCAATGAAATATGGATCCATAACCATCCAAACTCAACAGGTAGAACCTGTACGCGTGCTTTGTACACGAGAGAGCGTAACAAAAAACACATGGGGTCGACGTGCGGAAAACCAATGAAATATGGAACAAAAACCATCCAAACTCAACAGGTAGAACCTGTACGCGTGTTTTGTACACGAGAGAGCAGAAAATACACGGGTTGACGCGCTGGAAAACAACGAAATATGAAACAAAAAACATCCAAACTCACCAGGTAGAACCGGAACATCTCCAGCAGCTGGCGGAACAGCCTCGCCTTCGGGTGGGCCGCGAGCTTCGACAGCGTGCACCGCTCCAGCACGCGCATGTCCTCCAGGACAACGCACAGGAAACGCCTGCCAGCGGAGGGGGATAGATACTCTTAGCCGTGCATGCCGTAGTCGTTAGACCACTGACCTTGCATCCCTACGCCGGGGTCTCACCGGGGGGGGGGGGGGGACTCATGTTTTGCAAGCCTTAACGGTTACCACACGTCCTCCAGAGGAAACATCGTTCCCACAGGACCCATCACCGATGGGCAATCCCTCCCTCCCACTTTGCCCAGGGGGGCCC